GTCTAGAATAATTTGCCTGAACCCCGGGGGTTCATAAATTTCACCCTGAACCAGGGGTCCAGAATAAGGACGCTCTACCTTAAATATAGACTTTTATTCAGCTGATATAAGTTATGCTTAAATTTCAAACACATCAATAAAGTAAGAGTGGTTGGTTATACAGAAATTTCTGAACTTCAATAATAACAGATAATGGATATGTTATTATCAATAAAATATTTGATCACTTTCTTTGGTATTCACATAATGGATGTTTTGCAAATTTCCTTTAGATATAAGAAAGATTTCTTATGGATTTATAAATTATTAAACTCAAATAAAATAAATAAAATAAATAAATAAAATAAAATAGAAATCTAAGGTTTTAGATTTAAAAAATAAACAAACTAAAATTACAGGTTTATTTACTCATTGATATATATAAAATAGGAAATTTATTTTTTATTACTTGATATCTCTGTTGTATTGTTTCAATTGTTTCAAGAAACTTCATACGTGTTTAAAGGCAAGACATTTGAAGACATTATCCAGAATAGTAATAGTAACACAAAATAAATTAAACATATTTGTTTTTGAGGTGTTTAATAATCACAATTCACAAAAGTCGCGAAACCATTTTAAATCAATTTCTGTAAGGGCTTGTTAAAAAGCTCGTCAAAAGGACTCGAGAGCAAATTGCATTTTTTGCATGTTTTTTGCGTACTGAATATGTTTAATTGCATTTTGGTAGCTTTCTCTTAATTTGTCATTAACGTTTCACTTTAATTATCCGTGCAGTGTATATATATATATATATATATATATATATATATACATATATATTTAAGAAATTTTCGAATCTTCTCATCTTCTTTTATTCAATTGGTTTCTGAAAGATGGTCACGTAATAAATTCAAACTTTTGTCTTACAAACAAATAATAATAAATCTAGCAAAAATCATGTTTTTTTTCAAAATATTTAAACATTCTATCTTTTATTTTCTTGTATGAACGATCTTTTCTTACCTTACCGAACTACCAATATGCCTGTAAATACTAATATGACTGAAGAGGAAGAACTTGAATTGCTTCAGCATCTCGCTTCAGAGTTTAATAAACCTTTTACAGGTTGGGATTTTTCTTATCTTGAAGGTCGTATGGAAGAACGGACACATTCTTTACCTTGGGATTATGAAAGTACAGTTAGAGCTTTGTTACCTAATTGTCAAGGTCTTTTGGATATGGGAACTGGAGGAGGTGAATTTCTTGCTTCCTTAAGTCCCCTTCCAGAAGATACTTGTGCGACTGAAGGTTGGGCACCCAATATTGATATTGCAAGGAAACGGTTAAAACCACTCGGAGTAACCGTTACAGGTAGAAAATGCATTATTTATTATCAATTAATTTAATATTTTAATTTAATAATAATAATAATAATATATTATTAATTATTTAGCTATTACCGATAATGATGTTCGACTTCCTTTAGATGATGGTAGATTTAATTTAATAATTAATCGTCATGAACCTTATATCGCTTATGAAATTCATCGACTTCTTCAATCTGATGGATTATTTATTACACAACAAGTCGGAGAAAACGATAATATGGAAATAAATAGACTTTTGGGAGCACCAGAACATTTAGGATATCGCGAATGGCATTGTGAACAAGGTTGTAGTGAATTAGAAGCCGCTGGATTAACTATATTAAAAAAGGACGAAGCATTTATAGAGACAAAATTTTATGATGTGGGAGCGATTGTTTATTATTTGAAAGCAATGCCTTGGCAAGTTGAAGATTTTTCTGTAGAAAAATATGCAGACCAACTTATTCGTTTACATCATTTAATTCAAAAAGAAGGATATCTTTCAGTTCAAAGTCACCGATTTTTCATTGTTGCAAAAAAAGAATATTAAATTCAATGAGTGAAATTCAAGAAGGAAATTCAAGAAGGGTTTTTCACTTTTAATTAATTTAATTTAATATGGAACTTGGTTTTTTCAAAGAACAATTTATTCCTAAAACAAAAAAAAAAAGTATTATTTCATTTTTTTTTTTTTTTTTTTTAATTTTATTTATTTGTTTCCCTTCTCTCGCACATATATAATTTGATTTGGATAATTAGAATCATTTAGCTTTTCTTATTTTTCCATAGTTGTAATTAATGTATCATATTTTTTAATATCATCATTTTATTTAAGGTGCTTGACTTTCATTATCATTAAAGTTATTTATTATTTGTAAATTGGAATCAAATTTTTTATAAATCTTTGATAAAATGACTATGGAATTCTAATTGCATTATTTAGTACAAAATTATATTTGCATAAATTTAATAATTTCCAAATGCACCAGTTTAAAAAATAAAAATAAAAATAATTCGTATTCTTTATTGCATATTACCCACGTGATTGACTATTCATTATTTTAATTCGTAATATATGTAATATTTATAAAAAAATAGTAAATTTAACATAAAATTTATATTTATTATACATGAAAGAAGTTGAATTCCCAAAATTATGATAAAAATAATTATATTTTATTATAACAATTTACGCGAATTAATTGATCAATGCTAATAAAATGAATAAAAAATATGAATAACGTATAAATTACGAAAAAATATCAATACAGGTATATATAGAGATTGTCCTCGTGTAATCTCTCGCGTGTTCCTTCGCGTGCCTCTGGAAAAGGCATATATAAATATATACAGTGTGATGGAAATAAACAAATAAATAAAATATTACTACATATTACTACAGAATGAGAATGAAAAGATGCATTTTGTTTCTATTAAAATTTTGTTCCATATGGATTCTCATCATCAAAACTATCATCACGTGTTATTTTTCTATCTGAGCAATTTTTATATCTATCTCTATCACTAGGTTCATATGGTGGAGGAAGTTCAGAATCATCATCAATAGATTGTAAAGTATTAGTTCGTTTATTTTTATTAGGTTTAGTTTCATTAAGTTTATCAAGCCCTGGAGGTTGGTTTAAATCAAGTTGAGGATCGCTCGGTGGTGTTTCTTGTTGACGAGTACCGTTAATTGGTGATGATAGCAGTTGTGGCGGTGATTTATTAGTTTGTCGTGGAAGTGGTGGTGATAGCAGTTGTGGCGGTGATGTATTAGTTGGTCGTGGAAGTGGTGGCGGCACAACATTATTAGGCATAATTATTCCATTGTTGGGCACAACTATTCCATTGTTAGGTACAATTATTCCATTGTTAGGCACAACTATTCCATTGTTAGGCGACAACGTATTGACTAAATATTTAATAAATTTAATAATAAATTTAATAAATTTAATAATTTAAATATTTGATTTTCGTGAATTATTCAATGAATATCTAAAATATCTAACCTGCATCAAATGCTTCTTTACATCTTCTACCACAAAAAGATGAATATGCTTGAGTTCCAGGATCTTTCCAACATGGTTTATTTTGACAATATAGACATAATGGAACTTTCACTGGTACCCAAATACCACCGCTAACCGGTATTGTTGGTGTTGGTCTAGTTGGTGAAGTTATGGATATGTTAGATTGAGTTGTAGGTGGTCTTTGCACCACCTGAGCTCTAGACTGACATTGTCTACCACAATAATTCGATCGTGACCCATTTTGTAATCGAACCCGAGGATAAATATGACACATAGCACAACCTTGAACCTTGCCTTTGAAACATACAAAAGTTTTATTGTATTAGAATAAAAAAATAAAAAAATTCCTTTTTTTTGGCTTTGAATTTTATTTATTTACCATGCTCTACTGCTGCCTTTCGGCATTGATTGGAGCAAAATTCCCCAGGATTGCCTGAAGGTTCCATAAAGACACCTTTCAATTTACATTCTGCGCAAAGGATCATTTTTTATGTGTTTGAAAGAAAGAGAAATGATTTTTTTTTTAATACTTTTTTTGTTATACCATTTTAATTTTAACTCTGGTACTACATGAATTTTCTTCATTGAAATAATAATATCCTGCCTTATTTTAATTGCAATTAAACTATATTCAGCATCTAATTTTACAAAAAAAAATTGAATTTAATATGTTTAAAGCTATTCTTAGAAAAATTTAAAATTAGTAAAATTTTGACAAATTTAGTAAAATTTAATAAAGTTAGTAAAGTTTATTTATTTATACAAAATTCTATTATTCCAATTTTTTTTTCTCCAATTTTTCCAATAGCATTAATTATATTTATTATTAATTGTTACCAAATTTTCATTCTATAAGTAATAGATGCAAATGGAACAACTGCATCAGGTCTATAAATAACGTATTCCTCATAATTTAATCTGTGTCCTACACTTCCATGTACGGAATGACATGGATATGGTGGTTCATTTAAATATGGCATGTCATCAATTGTTGTATGGCATCTTTTCAATTAATTCAATTAATTCAATTAATTCAATTAATTCAATTCAATTCAATTCAATTCAATTCAATTGATAAAAAAAATTTCAAAAGAATTAGAAATTTGATCGTTTACCTCCCTAAAGCTACAAAACAAAGCAAAATTGTATACAAATCTCCTGCTCCTCCTCTAGGAGTAGCATAACTGTGAGCCTTTGAAGAATTTGGAGCAAAATAAATACCAGATCCATATCTATAATAAAAAATTAGATTTTTAAATTATCTTATTTATTAAAATTATTAAATCGCCACAAAAAAAAAAAAGCGGATACCTTTTGAAAGGAGTGGATGATCCACTTCTCGTTATATCAAATCCTTTACTTAATATATTACAACCAGCACAACTTTCTGTTGAATTAGGATCACACGGTTTTTCAAGAGATTTACATTTAACGGTTGTTCCGTGCCACAATGGTTTAATATTTGGGTCATCGAGAATCAATAATAATTCTGACATGTATTCATCAAATCTTTGACATACTTTTTTATCACTCTTCATAAAAGATACACATTCAACGTTAGGTATACCCATATGCATTGGATGTCGCCACGTGGTATGAAAATGATCCACAATTTTTTCATTAATTATGCGTGTTCCGGCAAAAATAGCAGCATGCCGAAGTAGTTTTTCTGAAGAAAATATTTTTATAAGAGATATAAAATCTGGACGAACTGTAGGGTCAATAGCTATTGAATGATGAATAATCAATAAAATAATGAATAACTAATAAATAACTAAATAATAATCAAAGATTAAATAAAAAAAAATATTTCCAACCTCGGTCACATTTATCACAAAGACAACCTTGTCGAGTTTTAGCTTTTATTTTTTCAAACTCTTCTTTCGGAATAGAATTCCATGAAGCTTCTGAATCTTTTGAGTCGATTTCACCTCCTTCATCTTCATCATCAAAATCCCAAAGATTAGATAAATTTCCAGCTTTGCGTATATTTAGAGACATAGTTTCTAAGTGAATAAATATCAATCATCCTTTTCTTAGAAATTTCTTTTATGATACAATTTACAGTATGAAAGTGATACACAAATGCAAAAATGCAAAAACTTGGTAAATACAAATTTAATGGTGATACCATGTAACGTGCTAACGTAACGTGAATTGAATCAAATCTTTTGATAATAACTTTTCGTTTATCTTTTAACAATATAAAGACATGTTATTAACATAATTTCTACCACTTCTATTTTTGTTCTTTATTCTTTATGATTTATTTTATAACTTTGGTGGTGTTTATTTTTGTAATTAGGTATCTGATCAATCTTAACCCTCATAATACTATTATATAGAGAAATCATTGATACATGAATATTTGTATATAAAATATGTTGTTAAACGTTGTTCTAACATTTTTTTTTTCTATTTACAAACTAATAGGAACGTGAAGAGCATTAGAGGTAAAAGGTAAGTGTTTTCTTGTTTTATATTTTAATTGGCACCACGCGACGAATATGGAAGAAAATAGGCGAAATAAGGCAAGAGATACCATCTGAGGTAAGTGACAAGGTAATGTCTTATCGTTTGTTGTTTGTTTGTTTTTTATTACTTGGCACCACAGGAAGAATCTGAAAGAAAATGGAAGAAATTGGTGAAAATCAAAAACACAAATGAACGAAATAAGGTATGTGCACTTTATATTTATTGGGTTGGCACAAATATTCAAAGTAATTTATTTTCCTCAAAGTCTTGTGTTTTCTATAAACGGCATGTCAGAATTTCTGTGATTGGCCAAAATAACTTAGCTCAAAAAATGTTAGAAAAGCAATGCCTTTATTTAGCGGAAAATTAATTAGCCAGAGATGCAATAATTGAACCAACTTTCAATTAGTTGTCAAATATAATTCTTAAAAAGTAAATAATGGAATTTTCAATTTAATACATTGTCTAAAAAAATTATTAAAACACACTACAAAAATAAATTACTATACTTGTATGTAAAATTGCCTATTATATAAAGTTGAAAACCTAATAATTTTTTTTAGATTTATTGATTAAAGATATGTTAAATAGTTAAATAAGATGAAAAAAATATCATAAAGCTGAAATAAAAAACCTCATGTATAACTACAACTACAAAATGATATCCTTTTTTCATTACAACTTCATTTTATACTAATCTAATCCTAATCTCTATTTTAATCAAGAGTGATTTTATATTATGGACCTTTTCTCATGTTTTAATCAAGTATAGCAGATTCTGATATTCAGGTATTTCAAGAAGTCTAATTAGAAGGTGAATCCAAATATTTAATAGTATAAATTTTCAAGTTTATTGTGAGATTGAATTAATAATTTCATTTAGCTTGAATTTTGAGCTAACTATATATGTCATTTAATACAAATACCATTAAAATTTTAGTATATATTATATACATGTTGTTAAAACTGTTGAATTTAATTAGATGTAATTAAAATTCAAATTGAATCAAGTAAAATTTGATTTTTTAATGGTAAATAATACAAGTAAAGTCTGGTACAATTAAAAATTGAAATTTTTAAGAATTGAGCCAATATTGAAATAATATTATTGTAATATTTGTAATTGATATTTATTGTTTAAAGTTACATACCAAATATTATTATTTGGACAATGTAAAAATAATTAACTCATAAGCTTCTGATAAATAACTAAGATGTCATTTTATAATTTATCAATTTATTCAAAAGTAATTTCTATTCAATTGGTTTGAAGTTAGAATTGATGTGAACACATTATCAAAATAAATATAAAATTATACTTTTTTTTTTTGATAAATGCTATGATAAAACTTTACTATATAAGAATAATCTCTATGCCATTGTGATATTTTTGATATTTTTCATAATGTTTCATGAAAATATATTGTATAGTGAAAATTTCATTACATTTAAAACAAAATAATTTTTAATTCATTTCCATTTTCTATTTTTTGTTGAGGTGAAAATTGAAAACTTTTTAGGAAATGTAATTGGTTAATCATATTACACAAGATCACGCTGGCAATGGTGGAATATATTTAATTGATTTATGCGAAATGTGATTATGCTACATAATAAAATGTATAAAATAAAGTTTACACTAAAAATATAGTTAAAATGTGTAGTCAAAAAATAAAAATGAAATAAAAAATCTATAAAAAATAAACAAATATAAATAAATATAGTATAGTTAAAAATACAGATAAAATAAATATATAGTTAAAATTAAAATAATCAATCCAATCAAATTAAGGAACTTTATATACTATTAAATATTGGGGAATAGATGCAGCTTCTTCATATACCACTACTTCATCATAGTTAAGATTACCAGTAGCGCTAGGTTCACCTAATACACTATCAAATCCAAATGGTGCATTTCTCAATGTCATATTGTCTGCTGTCAACGGGGATCCTTTTCCTACTATAACTTTATTTAATAACATTACCTTGTAATTTGTTCCATAATGATTTTTTAATGATCCTTCGTTATAATCATCTGACTTTGATGAGGTTCCTGAAAAATATATTCCACTCCTTTTATTTTATTTTATTAAAAGAAAAAAAAAAATAATAATTTAATGTATTTATAATTTTATAATATTGATAAATCTATAAATTTATAACATTGATAAATCCATAAATTTATAACATTGATAAATTTATATTCATATTTTTCTCAATTATTAATAATAAAATGAAATTCAATCAAAATACAATACCCAAATCTTTGAAAAGCTGCTGAGATCGTCCCGGTACCCACAAATCGAAGTTTATAACCTTCTTTTATAATACAACAAACTGCACAAGATTTATCATTACAAATTTGTCCATTTTTTATACCAATAAAACATGACCTGTAAAATTTAGAAAATTTAGAAAATCAGAAAAATTCACATCAAATAATAATAATAATAATAATAATAATAAACATTACATTTTTGTTCCATGAAATCGTCGTTGTTCATTTCCCGCACTCATTAATCTGCTTCCATCTCCTTTTGGAAAAGGTTTACCTTCCAATTTTTGGTTTCGTTCCACTTCCTCACGATATATATTATATCGAATATTCATTTCACTGGTACAAAATATCTTCCATATTGATTCAATTTCAGGTACATTTTTATGTGGATGTTTCCATGCCAGTCGAAATTGATTCGTGACATCCCTATATTTTTGACTATTTGCTGGAAGCTTGAAAAGACATGGAGCTAAATAATATAATTTTAATATAATTTAAATATAATTTTTAATATAATTTTTAATATAAATTTAATATAATTTTTAATATAATTTTAAAATACCTTTATTCTGGACCATACGATTACATTGTTCTCCACAAAAGTACTGATTTGTTAATGCGTGATCTCTGTTACAATTCAAACATAATTGATTGCTCTTTTCGGTTATTAGAGTTTGCCAGTTGTGAGTTTTATTTCGACAAGATTTTGAACACCAGAGTGAACGTGGATGAACACGATTAACCTAGATTATTATTAAAAGATCCTTATTAAACATTGATATCATTTTTAAATTCCTTAACGAATTGAAATTAAATTAATTAAAAATTAAATTAATTAAAAAATTAAATTAATTAAAAATTAAATTAAATTAAAATTTACCTTGCAATGTAAACACAATGGTAAATTTCTACATTTCAGCCATCCACAAAATTCTGATCCGGTGATTCGAGGGAATTCTTTACATTGCATACAGGGAGTAGCAAACCCTGATTCTAATGCACCACGACGACATTCATCACTACAAAATTCACTTGGATGGCCGTCAGTATCAGTGTCCGCCGGATTTTCTGCACAATATAGACAAGTACCATCTTTTTTTGGTGGTTCTTTTTTACTTTTTGTTATTACAGGAATGTCAGCAATTGGTGGAATAGTTAACCGTTGAGTAGAAAGAATTGTGCCCTGAATTGAAGGTGCCACATTCATCGGTCGAATTGTAGGTGGTTGATTCATTGGTGGAATTACAGGATTTACAGGTGATATAGGTGATTGATTTGAGTATAACATAGGTGGTTGGTTTGTCGGTTGTAATTTGGGTAGTTGATTAATTGTATAATTATTCACAGGTGATTGAATTGTAGATGGTTGAATTGGTGGTTGTACTATAGGAGGTCCATTAGTACCTCGAGTTGGTGTTTGTGGTTTTGACTATTGTTTCATATATATATAAATATTAAATTGAAATAACTAATAATCACTAAATTAATAATTAATAATATATTTACCATACAACAGCCCATAGTCGAAATGGTGAATTTATATATTAAAGAAAATAAATTAAGAGAAACTACAAATTTGTAACACCATTTTCAAAAGAATCGGAGTTTCCAATTCTTTCTACGATATATTTTTTTCTATCATCGATCCTATCAATCAAATATGTATATTATGATATATAAGATATAATATTATATAATATATATGATACATTCAATAAATAATACTGCATAATTTTATTTTTAGTATCATTAACCAATTTAGAAAATCATAAATTCAGATCTTCCGTCTCGCGATAATAATGTTACATTGAATGCTATTTTTAATTTTTTGAAATGGCACAAGATTACTTGTAACAAATTTCTTTACTCCTCGCCCCATTCGTCCATAAATAATTCTTGGCAAATAAATCTATTATTGTCCTAAATAGAACTTTGAAGAATATCTGATTCATTCACTTTTTTATTTATTTATATAACTCACCTTTGAATATACATGCGTTAATTAATTTAATAATGCAACAGACTCATCAAAATGGAACCCTTCCCACTCTTGAATATGGTTCATGTAAGGAGCTTAATTGTAATTGCGAAGCATTAATACCAGTTGAAGGCGAGCCCAACAGATGTACGATCTGTTCTCACGATAGTTTTATACATGCTGTGTTGGGACCAACAGGTAAAAAAATTTTTTATCATTAATTATTAATAAATATAATTATCTATCAGTTATATTTTTATTTTTTTTTTAAAAAAAAAAAAAAATCAAAAAAAAATTTAGTAAACTCAAATAATTTAATAAATCTTTTATATAAAAAAAAAAAAAATGAATTATTTCAGAATCACCACCACCCCCTACACCACCCCCCAATATAATTTGGTTTTATAATCGTAATGAGAAATATTATGAATTCACAAATTTCAAAGAAGGATATCCAATTGTAGCAGCACTTGTACAACCTCAAATGGGTGAACGACCAGACGTAAGAAGTTGGCCTACAAGTGAACATCTTTTTCAAGCAGCAAAATTTAAAAAATATCCATCAATATGTGAATTAATTATGAATAGTAAAACTGCAAGAGATGCATTAAATATTGCGCGAAATTTTCATCAATTTGTGGATCCAAATTGGCAAGAAATTAATATACAAGTAATGGAATGGGTTGTTACACAGAAATTCGAACAACATCCTGGATTAGCTAGAATGTTAGTGGAAACAGGCGATCAAGAACTCGTTGAACATACCGAAGTGGATAATTTTTGGGGAGATGGAGGTGGTCCTAATAAAGGACGTAATGAATTGGGAAAAGTTTTGATGCGAGTAAGAAAAAAATTAAAAGAGAATATTAATAATAATAATAATAATAATAATAATAATAATAATAATAATAATAATAATAATAATAATGATAATAATAATAATGGTAATAATAATAATAATAATAATAATAATAACGATACATTGATCACAACGTAATAATTCATCAACTTCTGTAAACCTAATAAATCCACATGGAGAAGAAATTCACGTGAATACAAATGATGTACGTAACAATAGTGATAATGTTACACCTGATTTATTTGATTTATTTCCTCCCCCCTCCATTTTCCTCACGGTAGAAACAATAAGCATAAAAACAACAACGACAATAACGATTATCACAACAAATTATTACATATAATAAAAATGATGTAGATATGTATATAATGTGTCTTCCAGGACAGAAAATGATCTTTACCCTTTCAGTACAATTAACTATACAATTTAAACTTTACATTAAACTGTACAATTAAACTGTACAATTTAACTATATACAATTTTAACTTTATGATACAATATTTATTATATTTTTTTTTGATCATCGAATCTATTATAAGATTTATATAAAAATATATTGTATACTGAAATAGATTAAGATTATCATTTAAAAAGTATATATATATAGTTAACTTATTCATAAGAGAAAGAATTTGGAGAATTTATTTATTTAGAAATATAAATACATGAAAATAATAATATCTTCTAAAAAACATCAAATTCAAAGAAGAAGAAGAAAATAAAATAATAAATAATTTAAATAATTTAAAAATTGATATAAAAACACTATATTGATAATTAATATTACTATACTATATATAAATATATATAAAAATAAATAAATAAATAAATAAATATATATATATATATATAATTAATTCTTTGGTCTTGTAAGCACTTGACTTTTACTGAGAACTTTTCTAGTATTATCTTTACTTTTTACACTAATTAACGGAAAAGAACATATTTCAACTTCTAAATCTTCTATATTATCATCATCCCAAGATCCTTCCATAATATTATTTTGTATATTTGTACCCGCTTCAATAAATTCCGTAAAGTTAGGAACTGGTTCTTGAGCATTTAATCTAAAATACAATTGTATAATCTCTTTAACTAATTCAATTGTTTGATCTCTTAATCCCATTTTTCTCTCTTCACTATTAATGATACGATAACGATTAATTTCATCCATGATTAATTTGGCTAATTTTTCAATGAAAGGATGATTCTCTTTACAAAATCCTCGAGTTCCCAATACTGCACAAACTTGTTGTCGAATTTTTATTGGAATAATTCGTGAAATATCATCGGATCCTTGACGAGTTTCGGTTAGTTGAACCATTAGATTACATAATGAGTTAGCATTCGTGGTAATTTCGAATTCTAAATTATTATTATTATTATTATTATTATTATTATTATTATTATTATTATTATTATTATTATGCTGTTGTTGTTGTTGTTGTTGTTGTTCTTGAGTCATAGTAAAGCTTGAACTATACATTTGTTGTGAATTTTGTTGTTGTTGTTGTTGTTGTTGTTGTTGTTGCTGTAGTTGTTGCTGTTGTTGTTGTTGTTGTTGTTGTTGTTGTAGTGGTTGTAGTTTGGGTTGAGATTGGTTTCTTTGTTGTGGGTATTGTTGTTGTTGTTGGGGGTATCCACCTCCGTGTTGTTGTTGATGTTGTTGTTGTTGTTGTGGATATCCACCACCGAGTTGATGTTGATGTTGTTTTTGTTGTTGTTGAGAATTATTCAGATTCTGTTGTTGTTGTTGTTGCTTAATAGAATCAGATACTTGATAAGTTATGTGAGATTTTAAAAAATCACATGATAAATGATTATTAAGTTGAAGAAACAAAATATCAAGAATGTGACGTTGTAAAGCTGCACTCAATACTAGTTTTCCTTTTCCTGCCTTCGTTCTATCGAATTTCGTTACACATTCATAAGTTTGTAAGAGTTCTGAAGCTGCTTCTTCATTAATTGTTACTTCTTTACCTTTAACGGAAGTAAAATCTGTTAACTTGTGTTGGATTTCACGAATCTGATTTGAAAGTTGAACTGAATTATTAACATCATGATCACCCCAACGAACATTTGTTGCCTTTCCAAGTGCAGATTGCAAATGTGATGCTTCATCTTTTAATTGAAGAATTTGTTTCTTTAAATTTTGAATCTCAACATCTTTTTCATTAGCTCTTTGATGACTTTTTCTTTTTTCTAAATCTAATTTCACGTATAAATCTTTATTTTTTTTAAGTAATTCTTCTATTGAATTATCTATTTCATATCTTTGTTTAATTAATTCTCCTTTTTCGTGTTCGAGTATTGTATTCCTTTGAACAAGGTTTGCTATAGAATCTCCCGAAGATGGTAGTTCTCCTTCCTCACCTTTTTTTTTTTTGATACAAATAACATTAAAATTAATAAAATTTCAATTTATAATTCTTATTGATGAGAATTAATGATAATAATAAACCTATAATAATAATAATAATAATAATAATAATAATAATAATTAATAATAATATAATAATAATATAATAATAATAATAATAATTAATTAATAATAATAATTAATATTATTTTATTTAATTTTTAAGATTCTACCTTCTACCTCTTTTTTTTTTGGATGGCAATGGGGGAGCCATGGAAGGTTTGTTGCTCGTAGGGTTTACTGACATATTCATATTCATAACAGATAATCTTTTTTTCTTTGAAATTAGATATATATATATATATATATATATATATATTAAGATAGATAGATAAAAAAGAAAAGGTTTTGTTCGATAATGATAAATGTTTTTAATTTTAAATTATTGGATTTTGTCGTGTTACATTTGACACACATTTACACATCTATTTTTAGTTATCTTATCTATTTTTAATTTTACATTATTGACGGAGAATCGATTTTTAAAGTCCGCGTATAGCGAAGTTTTTCTACATAGAAACCGACCTATTTCTTTTTGTTTCTTATGTGAGAACAATATATTATAATTTATTTAATATATTGTATTGCTTTTGGAGTTGATATATTTCAATTTTTGAATTTGTTAGAATATTAAAATAAAAAAGCATGACAAGCGCGAAAGATATACGTGTTGTAGTCTCTATAGGTAATGAAAAATATTTAATTTTTTTGAGTCATTTTTTATTGTAACTATTTTATTTTTATTTTTTTATTTATTTTTATTTCATTAAATTTAAATTAAATTAAAGTAAATTAATTAAAGTAAATTAATAATTTATTACAGATTTTGGAACCACATTCTCTGTAAGTTTAATAATTTTTAAACAAAAAGTTTTTGCTTTTTATTATTAACAAAAGCGATCGTTGATTTAAAATGACCATTTGAAAATATTAGGGATTTGCATATTGTAAGTTTAAAATTTCTTTTTTTTTCGTAAACTTTAACTTGATAAATTTGTTCGAATCAAAAATCAAAAATCAATTTATTATTCTTTCTCCCTTAGCAAACAAAACGAATCCGGAAATTATTACTAACGATAGTGTAAGTAGTAATTATTATAAGATAAAATTTTTTGTTTAAATTGTTTTAATTGAATTGAATTGAATTGAATTGTTAAAACAACATTCGATTAATGAACTTTTTTTTTTTTTTCTTTTATTAATTGCAATATGCGACATGACGTGCAACTACAAATCGTAATGTTTCTGTATACTAATATATACTTTTCGATAGTGGCCAGGTAAAACCCTATTTTATAAAGTTTAAAAGAAATTATTCTTTTAATCATTCTTCTTCTTCCTTCTTTCTTTTCTAAATTTATAATTTTTATTTTTTGTACAAAAATTTTCAGAACAACAAGGAACTTTTAAAACGAATACCTGTTTAGCATATGATGATAATTTACAACTTCTAAAATGGGGATATCCTGCCTTGGCTCAGGAACCACCAAAGAAAAGAAAGGCAATGGCTAAACCACAACCTAAACCTGTAGAATTATTTAAATTACATTTAGCTGATGTAAAAGATGATGAGAAACCATTACTTCCACCAGGTTTAGATGCAAAGAAGGCTATTACAGATTATTTACATGAAATGAATAAGGTAATTATTTAATAAAATTAAATTAAATTAATTAATTATTTATTTATTTATTTATTTATTTATTTATTTTTTATTTATTTATTTTATTTATTTATTTATTTATTTATTTATTTATTTCCTTAAAAAAATTTTTTTTAAAAGTCAATTTGTGAAACATTAAACTCTCGATGGCCAGGTAAATTAAAATCAAATCAAATTAAATTGGATTTCATCATTATTCTTCTATAATTAAATCAATATATTTAATAATAATTAATCAAATATAGGTTTAAGATATCCCGCACAAATACGTTTTGTAGTTTCCGTACCTGCAGAATGGTAAATGATCCATGCGTATATATTTCTATTCCTTATTTTTATATTTATTTATATTTATTATATTTATTATATTTATTATGTTTATTATATTTATTATATTTATTATATTTATTATATTTATTATATTTATTATATTTATTATATTATATTTATTGTATTTATTTGTCTTACAAAAAAAAAAAAAGGCATCATGAAGCGAAAGCTACTATGAGAGAATGCATGTATAATGCTGGTTATTTGGAACACAGACAATCTGAAAATCTGGAATTCACTACTGAACGTAAATTTATTTTAGATTTATTTATTTAATATTTAAAATATATACAATCTGACTATGAAAAAACTTATAAAATTCTTATTTTTAATTATTATAGCCGAAGCAGCCGCTGTATATTGTATGAAGAGTTTAAGTGAACATCGTTTGTCCGCAGGATGTAATAAATTTAATATTTTCATTATTGTCATTCATTTATAAGTTTAATATTTGATTATTGTCTTATTTTTATTGAATTATTATCTTATTTGATTACCTTTATTTTTTAGCATCCTTCATGATTGTTGATTGTGGAGGTGGTACAGTTGATTTAACGACAAGAACTCTTTTACATGGCATGAAACTTAGTGAAATTACAGAACGAAGTGGTGATTTATGTGGTAGTTCTTATGTTGATCGTGAATTTCTCAGATTTTTTGGGAAAAAACTTGGTTATGCTGCAATGAAACAATTAAAAGAAAATCATTATGGTCAAATGCAATATTTGGTTCAACAATTTTGTTCAAGAGTTAAATTCTCTTTCAATGGAAATCCTAATGAATATACCACTAAAGATTTAGATATTGAAAGAGTATGTCCAGCACTTATGCAATATGTTACCGGGCGTGCAAAGGAACAGATGGAAGAAGCTGAATGGTTGATTGAATTAGATTTTCAATCAGTAAAAGATATGTTTGATCCTGTTATTAATAAAATTATTGAATTGATTCAAAGGCAACTTGCTTCAACCGAACGAAGGTGTGCTGCTATGTTTTTGGTAGGGGGATTTAGTGAAAGTTCTTATCTTCAATCTCAAATTCGACGACATTTCATGACAAAAGTTCCTCTAATAGCAGTACCTAAACATCCGATTGCTGCCATAGTACGTGGAGCATTAGAATATGGGTTAAATATGGAAATTATACAAACCCGTGTTCTTAAATTCTGTTATGGTGTAGAAGTTAGTGCTAAATGGGAAAAAACTGATCCACTAGAACGTAGAACTCCCGCTGGACGTATTTTCCGATTTCATAAATTAGCTTTACGTGGAGTTGAAGTTGCCGTAGATCAGAAGTTTTATTATACTGCTGGTCCAGTGGTTCCTAATCAAACTGACATGACTTTTAACATATTTATAACACCAGATAATAATGCAAAATATTGTGATGAAGATGGTATGAGAATGTTAGGTAAAATGAAAATCGATTTACCTGATCCACAACGTGGTAAAAATCGATTAGTTGAATTTACTTTAACTTTTGGTACTATGGAAGTTAAAGCAACAGCTATCAACAAGCGAACTGGACAAGTATATGAAAGTAGTTTTGTTTTAGAATTTTAAAATTTAAAAAAAAAATATTTAAATTAATCTTTCATTTTATTTTTTGATTTTATCTAAAAAATATTATTAGTTCCATCTCCCATCTATTATTTATTTTTATTTTGAAATATTTTTTTTTATGGCTTTCATCGTTTACATTATTATTCTTATATACAACATATGTACAACATTATATACATTATATATAGCATTTTATTATATATTTTTTTATTTCAAAAATTTATTCTTACTTTCTTTATTCAATATCAATTATTATTACATTACATTTGCATTTTTGTCTTTTATAATGAAAAAAATTTCTTATTTTATTTTTATATTCATTATTTATTTATTTATTTATTTATATTATTGTAGAAGTTATAAAATTTTTTTCTCCATAAAATTATTATACAATAATGAATAATGTTTACATTTTTTAGTGCACTTATTTGAATTTGTGATTTGTGATATTTTGATATTTAACATATTTTTTTTTGACGTGCGATATGAGTTTTATTTTTTTAATAAATTTCAATCATTCCTAAGGTAAGTTTTAATTTTCACTATGGTGCACCAAGTCTAAAGGCATCAAATGATGTTTCACCGCTGAAATTTGTTGGTTAATAGATCAGGTGATTTTTCAAAGCAAATTTTTGATTTTCGGGTTCGTTTTTTTTATGAACCAAAATTTAAAAAAACTTATTATCTCACTGCTATGTATTTTATCCTGAGGACTTCGAAGGTGTTTTGGATAGATCGGAGGATAACGTAGTCTTCTTTATTTAAATTTATCTTGATTTAGCTAATAAAGGACGTTTTGTAATCCTTATTAGTTATTTAAGGGATTAAGGGGTTTAAGGGATGATTTATTTTAAATTATCAATTTAACAAAATGTTTTTTCTCTTTAATTATGCCAAGACAAAACAAATGCCATAGACACTGCTTGGAAATTATAATAAAGTGGTGGGAAAGACCTGATCTGAATGTTTTGAATGCCAAGTATGATGAACTCGAATCTAGCTTTGACTTTCTTTGGCAGGAAGATGAGCTTGTGGATGATATTCAATTTATAGAAGAATTAAGAGGAGTGAAACCAAGTGTATTCGATGAACTTATTAAAAAGTCAAGTCAACCAGATATATGGAAAATGAAAGGACAAAAGTGATTTTATACTGGCTGTGCCAAATCAATTCTATGTAATAAGAGAGCAGCTTGGAGAAAGGTAGCCATAGGTTTCAGCAAAATTACCACTTTGTTTTCTAGCAAAACCTTCATTGACAATATAACTAACTCAAGTAGTAATGAACAAATGATATTAATAAACTTCCATTTGATGAAATTAATGAACTTCTATTTGATAAAATAGATGACTCTAGTGATGACGATAATGAAGAATTTACATTAGCATCTCTTGATACCTTGTTAAAAAAAAATCTGGATGATGTACAACTTCATATAGTTAGTTAATATCTTCATCTTGTCTAAGACCATGGGTTTTCTAAACTTTCAACTAGTGAGCTTTTGGCCTGTAGTATTAATAGGGTCCATGGCATGCACAAGTTATTCATTCATGGGCTAATCAATAGCTTAGTAAAAGTGAAATTTTTACATCACATCATGGCCATCATACAAAAATTAAATCACTTCTATATTATAAAGATTTCAAATTAAGTATTTTCAACTATTTGCGTTATTACTAGTTGACCTTTTGAGCTAATTTTATTTTCCAAAAGGCAATTTACAACTAGCAATTTGTAAACTTAAGTAACTGTTTATGAGTTACTAGTTGTAAATTGCCTTTTGGAAAATAAAATTAGCTCAAAAGGTTGACTAGTAACAATTTGGTACCTTCTAGCAGAAACAAATCAAAACTTTTATAATTATCCTATCTTTTATTTTGATAATTTCTAATATAGTATTTTATAATTTATTTTCTTTTAGTTAGCTACTTTTTAATGCAAAAGCCTTAATTAGTTAAATATAATTTTAAATAATCATCTTCTTACCTTTTTAGTATTAGTAATTTATTTCTATGATCCATGCTGATCAAATTAAAGAGCTTAACAAAATTATCAAAAAAATAGCTGAACTTTATTGACAAAAAATAAAAGCCATAGTCAATTAAATACTTGAAACTGAAGATCCTATATGGAAATTAGATGGTCTTGAAGAATTACACAAAATCAAAGAACAATTGAACTTACTCTTCCAAATTCAAGATAATTGTTATAGAATCTTGGACGATTTAAACTTTTTAAAAAATACCTTCATCAGGAAATTTTTTCTAATGAAAATCTTTGAAAGTTAATGTTAACATAAGTATTTCGCTGTTTTTTAATATGTTATCCTTCAAAGGTCTTCGCTAACCTTCGAAGATTATCGATTTTGATATTTTTACGTGATAAAATTTTGCGAATATTATCGTTTTCATAGTAGATTCATATTGATAACCTTTGAAGATTATCAATTTTGATATTTTCATGTGTGAAATTTTATGAATATTATCATTTTCATAGTAAATTCGTATCGATAACCTTTGAAGGTTATCGATTTTGATATCTTCATGTACGAAATTTTGCAAATATTATCATTTTCGTAGTAATTTTGTATCAATAACCTTTGTTTATGTTAGATATTCATAATATATCGTTTCGATGGTCATCACTTGTATTTATATCACTACAATTTTTAATTGACATTGCACTGTCAATAATATCCTTCGAAGTTTATTGCAACAATTTTAATTGAAATTGTATTGTTAACAATATCTTTTAAAGTTTATCACAGCAATTTTAATTGACATTGTATTGTTAACATTGCACTGTCAATGATATTCTTCGAAGTTTATTGCAGTAATTTTAATCGACATTGCATTGTCAACGATATCCTTCAGAAGTTTATCGCAACAATTTTAATCGATTTTACACTGTTAACAATATCTTTTGAAGTTTATCATAGCGAAATTGCATTGTTAACAATATCTTTCAAAATTTATCACAACAATTAAGATTAGTATTTATGTTTACTGAATATAATTATATTATTGTTATAATTTTATTAGATATTATATTGATCCAAAGTTTATTAGTATTAATACATTCTCAAAACCTTTGATGATTTAATATATTATAGTTAAAAATTTTTAGAATAACTAGACAATGATTACAATAAGTTTGAATTAGTATTGTTTAAATATTACAAACATTCACATATAATATTTATAATAAAATTTTCAAATAAGAATAATTATTATCATATAAATATTGTAAGTATAGGATTTTGCCTATAGTATTATTAACAAAATCTTTCAAAGTTTATATCGTTACATTTTAATTGATATTGATATCCTTCAAAGTTTATCATATCATTAATTATTATTTCAAATTTTCTTCAAAGGTTAATTTTTTTATTTGTATAACAATATCAGTTATCTTATATGACTTATTATTTAACTATATATTTTTTTGTTTATTTTCATAATAACTATTTTTACTTTCTCTAAACAATCTATATAAAACTCTTTGAAAAAAAATAAATTTATATCTTCGTATTTTGTTATTGTTATATCAAAATATATTAAATAAAAGGTAATAATTTAAAATATATTTAATATATTTATTAGCTTGCGTCAACTTTATTTTATAACTTAACAAGTAAATAAATATATTTTATACTTTGTTTAATTTCAGAAATATTTCATTAACTTTAACATATACTTATAAAACACTTTGAAATAGTATATTTATATATTCCTATAATTTATTCTGTTATTATATCAAGTACATTAATTTTATAATACTATTACTTGACCTATGCGATTTTATTTTGTAATATAAGAATATTAATAATATATATATCAATAGAATATCT